ATCCAAATTAAATGCAAATTGTACACTTGCTTAGAAGGCTCATTCAAATTAGATGCAAATTGTACACAACCTACTAACTTGGAAGGCTCATTCAAATCAGATGCAAAATGTACACTTGCTTACTAACTTGGAAGGCCTCATTCAAATTAGATGCAAATTGTACACTTGCTTACTAACTTAGAAGGCCTCATTCAAATTAGATGCAAATTGTACACAAGCCTACTAACTTAGAAGGCCTCATTCACATTAGATGCAAATTGTACACTTGCTTACTATCTTAGAAGGCCTCATTCAAATTAGATGCAAATTGAACACTTGCTTACTAACTTAGTAGGCCTCATTCAAATTAGATGCAAATTCTACACTTGCTTACTATCTTAGAAGGCCTCATTCAAATTAGATGCAAATTGTACACTTGCTTACTAACTTAGAAGGCCTCATTCAAATTAGATGCTTGATGTACACTTGCTTACTAACTTAGAAGGCATCATCCAAATTAAATGCAAATTGTACACTTGCTTAGAAGGCCTCATTCAAATTAGATGCAAATTGTACACTTGCTTACTATCTTAGAAGGCCTCATTCAAATTAGATGCAAATTGTACACTTGCTTACTATCTTAGAAGGCCTCATTCAAATTAGATGCAAATTGTACACTTGCTTACTATCTTAGAAGGCCTCATTCAAATTAGAAGCAAATTGTACACTTGCTTACTAACTTGGAAGGCCTCATTCAAATTAAATGAAAATTGTACACATGCTCACCAACTTAGTAGGCCTCATTCAAATTAAATGCAAATTGTACACTTGCTCACCAACTTAGTCGGCCTCATTCAAATTGGATGCAAATTGTACACTTGCTTACTAACTTAGTAGGCCTCATTCAAATTAAATGAAAATTGTACACTTGCTCACCAACTTAGTAGGCCTCATTCAAATTAGATGCAAATTGTACACTTGCTTACTAACTTAGTAGGCCTCATTCAAATTAAATGAAAATTGTACACTTGCTCACCAACTTAGTAGGCCTCATTCAAATTAGATGCAAATTGTACACTTGCTCACCAACTTAGTAGGCCTCATTCAAATTAAATGCCAATTGTACACTTGCTCACCAACTTTTTATTGTTTTCAGTGAAAGAGCTGATACAGATGATAATGAACCTGAAGAAGATGAATATGACGATGAAGGAGAATTAATTATTAAACCAAAAGATGTTGCAACTGGTCCTTGGAAATCGATGGACGCATCAGCACCAGCGACAGCTGCTGCTCCTTCACCTGCTTCTGTACCTGGTACGCACATCATATCCATTTAGAGTTTACTTTGAACCATCAAATTTTCACTGCCCAAAACTTGCGCTTGGTCATTGTGAAATTTTGAGAAAGTCCCTTGTACTCTCCTGTCTTGGCTGCTACTCTGACTCGCACAATTTGCAAATAAATTTTCCTACCTCTAGCCATCCAAATTGTACTGCTCATTCAGTTTGAGCAATTGCCAAATCTGGAATTAGCTTTTTATCGCTGCTGTCAACCTCTGTATTTAAAGTGGAGCTAGTCATACTTATCTATCCGGCTGCATCAACTTTTTTTCTGAAAAGTTCAAGTTCAATGGTATGTATGTACCTCTCCATTTTGTGACAGTATCTTCAATTCTCTAATTTTGATGATTATTTTTTACATTTTTGGTAAAAAGAAATATTTTTGACTTTTTGATTTTTTTT